ACAACTTAAATGGGCAAATAGCCTGGCACAAAGCAAATTACTTGGATGTAAATCTTACTATTGTGATGTATGGCTGTGAGAGTTGGACCATAGGGAAGGCTGAACACGGAATAATTGATACTTTTGAATTGTGGTGTTGGAGAAGATGCCTGAGAGTCCCTTGGACTGCAAGGAGATCAAACCAGTCAGTCTTAGAGGAGATCAACTCTGACTGCTCTTTAGAAGGTCAGGTACTAAAACTGAAGCTCATATTCTTTGGCCACCTAATGAGAAGGAAGGATTCATTGGAAAAGACCCTGTTGCTGGGAACAATTGAAGGCAAAAGGAGAGGGGGACAGCAAAAGAAGGGTATGGAAGAGGTTGAGGTGGCTGGATGGGGTAACTGGAGAGGAGGGTGTGGGGTTTGGTGGACTCCAGCGGATGGTGGAGGACAGGGGAAACTGGAGGAATGTTGTCCATGGGGTTGCAGGGAGTTGGGCACAACTTTGTGACTGAACAACAACAACAAGAAGATCTTACTAAAATCAATAGCATTTGCTTTCAAGTTCTTCTGGAGTTTCTGGTGTAAGCATGATTTATAGTTAGATTTTGCTTCTTGTTGGTTATGCATTGTAACCAACAGCCTGCTGCACCAACAAATGTGTTTGGAATGGGGCGTGCTCCTCATAGCAGAGGCATACTGCCACAGCCATGGCATTATATTAAGGTTCAGACAAAGGTATCAGTGCAGGTATCAAAGAAGGTATCAAAGAAGACTGCTTTGTGGGATACATGACACTTGCTTCTAACAGACAATCCTGAACAGGATTGTGATGGAAAGTGAAGGGGGGTGGAATGCCTGCCACTTTGGGGCCTACTGCTATAGGTAATATTGTTGGTCAGTACATTTGTGACCACAGAGCTTTCCACAGAAGTATCAGGGCCTTTTGAAACAAGGATGCTGGTGGAATTGCACCTTCGTGCCATCCTATCCATGCTCTCCCTTGCCACCTCCCACCGCACTGGACACCTAGGGTAGTCAGGATTGCTCTGCAAGTTAGATGATTTGTAAAGGCTTTAATGAAAGGCACAGCTTATCATAAAACATGCATGAACTTAATCACTAAGCCTGCATTTGACAAAACTGATACTAATACATGAAAGATGATAAAATACACGCCTGGGAACCAATTTTCACGTTCTTTTCACCTATTCTTGTTTGTTTTGTTATAGTAAATTACCTAGTTTTCCTTTTAAAGTCCTCAGTATAAACTTGTCCTCATAAGAAACAGTGCAAGAAGACTTTCAACTTTATAATGTTGCTGAATGATCGAGCAATACATGTTGGGTTTTTAAGTGCTATCATAGAGAAGCATCTCTTGGGGGATGGGAATAAGAGAAAAGATGATCAGATTTATGTAATAGTGGTCTTATTAGGAAGATTTTGCTGAACTGCTGACAATGATGTACAGTAGTGATTCATTGGAATGACGTTTGGGGAAAACGATTCTGCTGCACCACCACACAAAACCAATTAGAGAACTATTTTCTGCGACAGGTCAGGAATTTACATTGTTTCTCATGGAAAGATGTGCTTTTTAATTTCGTTATTAAGATGACATCCATGTCCCTTAAGACTTTTTGGGATGACAATCATTTGCTCATCACACAGAAAAGAACAAATCAGAGAAATCACGTCACCAGTCTGGGACAATGCCAGAAAGTCCAAGCATCGCTCCATGTTTTCCAAATGAACTATTCTGAAAACTAATAAATGGAACAATATATATTGGCAGTGTTTTTGACAGGACCTTTAGCAACACACCAAGGAGAGAAAGTAATGGCAGTACGTATGCAGCAGTAGTGCTTTGGATATATTCGTTAGTCTTATATACAGTACATCCATTTTGCCAATTCAGAAAGGCATCATGAAATACTGTGCATTTTAGTAACCTGAGAAGTGATGCACAGTGGTACTTATGGCAGCAGATTTATTACTTTTTCTTCTCTATGAGCTTCCAATATTCACTATTAACAAAAATGGGAAGGTTAAAGCAATAAGTGGTTTCTTATGAACTCATAAACACATTGGAATACAAGAGAAACAATGCTACCTATAACTAACCCTATTCTCCTCACTATTTCATAGCATTCATAATGTGATAGGTTAGAGGGTGAAATATGAGTCCTAAATAAGTCCTATTTCTTTCAACTATATGCAAGATACTACCCTAAGAGACAAATGAAAGAAATTAGCCATCATATGTTTGAAATGTGTACCAATAGTGGGTTGATGCAGTACTAATCATTTACATTTGCTTATATTCCAAAGGAGGTACTATTCTGAATTCAGGACAGGGTTTGAGACCACTTATTGCTTTAACCTTCCCATTGATTTGAGTGCCTAAAACTGATTTATTGATTACCAACAACGTAAAGCCCTTGAACATAGCTGTGGTTCAACTATACTTGGACTATTATGTACATTTTTGGTCACCACTTCTCAAAATGGGTGTTGCAGAGCACACAACAGTGCAGAAAAGGACAATAATTAAGAGGCCAAAGTATCACTGCGTTGCGGTTACAACATTAGAGCTTTTTAGCTTAGAAAAAAGTGAGTCAACAGAGATCTGGCAGAGAAATAAAAAATTATTCATTCTGCGGAAAAAGTGGATGGAAAGTTGTTTTTACTCTTCTCTTGTAATTAGAACTGGGGAAGAAATTTGGTTCACAATTTTATGCAAACTTATAGAATTATTCAATAAGTCAATAATCTTTTGAAATTTGCATGTCTCTGAATTTTGCAATGGAATTCTGTGATATTTTTAAAGGGTACAAAATGTTTTTATCAGGGTAAAGTGAACATAAAAGCTGTTGCATATGTGAAAATAACATTAAAATACATTATATTAAGGACATTGCTTGCCAAAATTCATATACAGTGGTACCTTGGCTCATGAACTTAATCTGTTCCAGGACTGGTCGTGACCCAAATTGGTCATGAGCCAAGTTAAATTTCCCCATAAGGTTCAATGTAAGTAAGGCTAATACGTTCTGTAACTATTTTTTTTTAAATCAGAAAAATATGAAGCAAAGTGACAGCAACAAAGATTGCAACCATCTCCCCCGCCCACCCCGAGCATGACCGCGATTGTCATCCCTGCATGCGCCCATCATCCCGGTGTGCTGGTGGGGGGAGAGACAGGCATGATCACAGGTGCAGTGGGGGGGGGCAGAGAGACAGGTGCAAACATAGGTGCGCTGGGGGGGAAGAGACAGGCGCGAACGCAGGCGCACTGTGGGGGAGATGGCTGAGATCGGGGTTGCACTTGTGCAGGAAAGATGGGCGCAATCTTGGCCATCTCCCCCCCCCCCCCCCCCCGCCCCCACCCCCCCCCCCCCCCCGGCAGGGGGGGGGGAAATGGCCACGATCACGGTCACCACCCAATGCAGAGTTTGCAACCTGAGTCAAAATTTTTCTGAAATTTTTGTTCGCAACCTGATTTGGTCATGAACTGAGGCATTTGTGAGCTGAGGTACCACTGTAATAGACAAAATATGGTGTACAATATTGCACATTCTAGAGAAATGTGACGTTTTGTCATGACCAGAACATGCATGTATCCACTCAATGTGATTGAAGTCACCCATTGTTGTACCAAAACAACAACAACAAACCGAATTGTTTTCAATGCCTCTCTAATCTCATCATCTGTGTCAAGATCATCATGTACATTTTGGTCATAGCATGTACGCAGTTCTAAATTTCATTTGGGGCCTTGTATTTTCACTTATAGTAATTCTGTGAATTCCATGAAACCTTTTGAAGGTTTTGACACTTGTAGCTTCTTTGATATACAGAGTCCTTCACTTCCTCCTGTATGAGTTTCACTATCCTTCCTATGGATTTTCAATCCAAAGATGACAATATCACATTGGTTCTCTTGATATTATCAACTGTCTGTTGATACTACATCTACTACTACTACATCTATGTTCTCCTGTAAAACAAAGCACTCCAGCCCTTCAAACTTTGCTAAGCAGTTTCTAAAATTAGCATATGTACCCCTATCCACAGTGTCCTTCTTCAGCTGTCTCTGGTGTGTGCGTTCTCTCAGTGGGTCCTTTCTTTCTTTGGCAGACTATTATATACTATAGTGTGCTCATGACATATTTGTACCTTGTCCCCTCAGGCAATCAAAAACATTTTCACTCTCATCCTCTGAACAGAACCATATGAAAAGTCCTTTGGATATCCTAGTTCCAATTTGGACAACAGAAGTTTTGTCCAATATGTTGAACTGGGCTTGGAAAGAGGCCAGAAGTCAAGAGGCCAGATGGTACAAGACTGAAGGCCCATAAGCTGAAAAATGAATGCTAGTATGGAATTTAGTTCAGAACTTGAACAGGATTTCTAGATTCCTATATTCTATCATGCATAGGATGTAGTGAAAAATGCATGTTAAAGACTATAGTTGCAACCCTATGAACAGTTTTGATGCTTAAATTCTGTTGATGATTGTGCATTTAAGCAGCATTTATGCTTGTATGTTACATTTTAAGAACTACAGAAGAAAATCATGAATATAGAAGAAGTTATACGCAGAACCATTTGGTACTTCTGTTGCACTGAAGAACTGAGCACAAGATAACATTCTGTTAGTCTGATCATTAAAGGAGTAGGGTTTTTATTTTTTAATCATTGCATTTTTTGGCTACTGTCTAGACATGAGCTAGCATTTCCTTCTGTAGATCATATCATCTCACTTGCAGAGAGACTTGAAATAAAGATACTTAATTTATATCACATACTTGGAATAAAACATGGAAATGAAGAAGAAAACTCTTCATGCTCTGCTTGTGAGTATTTGGCTGCCATACTAGATGCAGTACTTCATGATGTATCATCTTGGCACATCTTATGTTCTTAAGCATATACCATGAGTACCAGGGGAAAGGCCATTCATTTTTTCAACTTTACTTACTAAGAAGTTTCTAAAAACTAAATAACATGTTCTCACCAGTCATGTATAAAGTAAAATTATCTCCATATTTTTGCTTGAAGGACAATAATAATCCAGTAGAGTCGTTTCGAAACTTCAGAGCTTCTCCCAAGAAAGGAATCCAAGATTTGATTAAAGGAGGCTCTCCAGGTCTCCTGCATAAAAGGTGAAAGAAAAGAAAGCATTCTTATACATTCCTAATGAGATAAATATTTCATCATTTTATGGATTAAATGTGGTGGATCTTGTCCAACACCTTTCAGTGTTGGACTTACACGTGGTGCAAGGGCCTCCTGACTAATTCTGCAGCACATTCCTAACTATGCAAATAAGAAGCAGCTCCACCTGATAGGGAATTCCTCATTTCATGTACCTTAAAGCTGCTAATTAGTCCATAGATTGGGTCACTTTTCTTTAGTAAAATGCAAATATATGGAAAAAAATTATTTATTGTCCCTAGGGAATTGGTTCAGAGAAAAATGTAACTGTAACTAATCCACAGCTCTCTTGTAAAATCTGCTTAGGCTTTCCAAGTTAGATGCTATGCAAATTTAAATTTAAAAAGAAGAAAATATATTCTTCATAAAGTCTTATTTATTATTTTTATTTATTAAAACATTTTTATGCCGCCCCATTCGCCGAGGCCTCGGGGCGGCTTACAACAATACATTAGAAACCACATAAATAAAAATTAAAATATATACATTAAAATAATAATAATTTAAAAAATATACATATATGTGTGTGTGTGTGTATATATATACACAAAATAAAATAAGCCGCCCTGGCCAGATAAGATTCAATAGTATAAACATTTAAAATGCTGCTTGAATAAAAAGGTCTTCGTCTGGCGCCGAAAAACAAATAACGACGGTGCCAGGCGGACCTCTCTGGGGAGCGCGTTCCATAACTTAGGCGCCACCGCTGAGAAAGCCCTCCTCCGAGTACCTACCCTCCTAATTTCTTTCACGGAGGGTTCCCGGAGAAGGGCCTCCCCCGCCGATCTCAGGGGGCGGCTGGGCATATATGGATGTAAGCGCTCCTTCAGGTAACCAGGACCCAAGCCGTTTAGGGCTTTATTGGTCATCACCAACACCTTGAATTGGGCCCGGACTTCAATGGGGAGCCAGTGAAGCTGACGGAGAACTGGAGTCATGTGAACATAACGTCCAGTCCCCGTCAGCAGCCTGGCAGCTCTATTTTGAACCAATTGAAGTATCCGGACCGTCTTCAAGGGTAGCCCCATGTAGAGCGCGTTACAGAAGTCAAGACAGGAAGTCACCAGCGCATGAGTCACTGTTGCAAGGCAGTCGTACTCCAGGTAGGGGGGCAGCTGATGAATCAGCCGAAGCTGGAGGAAAGCGCTCCTCGCTGCTGCTGTTACCTGAGCTTCGAGTGAAAGCTCCGGGTTGAGGAGCACTCCCAAGCTACGGACCTTGTCCCTAGGAGGGAGTGCAACCCCGTTCAGGACAAGATTCAATTCACCTTCCCCGAAGCCCGAACCACCAACCAACAGGACCTCCGTTTTGTCTGGATTGAGCTTCAGTTTATTGGCCCTCATCCAGCCCATTACCTCGGCCAGGCACCGGTTCAGTACAGCCATTGCCTCACCTGGATTGGTGGAAACCGAGAGGTAGAGCTGCGTATCATCAGAGTACTGATGGTTCTGCAGCCCACACCTCCTGATGACCTCTCCCAGCGGTTTCATGTAGATGTTGAACAGCAAAGGGGACAAAATGGACCCCTGCGGTACTCCATGGTATAGCTGCCATGGCGCAGAGCCATAGTCCCCCAGCACCACCTTCTGGGATCAGCCGTTGAGATAGGAGCGGAACCACTGCAAAGCAGTGCCCCCAACCCCCAATCCCGCTAGCCTATCCAGAAGGATACCATGGTCGATGGTATCGAAAGACGCTGAGAGGTCCTGGAGAACCAACAGGGATGCACTCGCCCTGTCCTTCTCCCTGCACAGGTCATCGTACAGGGTGACCAAGGCAGAGTCAGTACCATACCCGGGTCTGAAGCCGGACTGAAATGGGTCCAGATAATCAGTTTCATCCAAGAGTGCTTGGAGTTGTCCCGCCACCACCCGCTCTAACACCTTGCCCAGAAACGGGATGTTGGCCACTGGTCTATAATTAGTGGCCATCTCTGGATCCAGTGATGCCTTCTTCAGGACCGGTCGGACTACCGCCTCCTTTAAAGGGGCAGGCACCCGACCCTCCCTCAGAGAAGCGTTAACCACTTCCAAGATCCAGGTTCCAATCCCGTGCTTGGAATCCTTTATTAACCAAGACGGGCAAGGGTCCAAAAGGCAAGTGGTGGGACGTACTCGTCCAAGCACCTTGTCCACATCATCAGGCCACAGTAACTGAAATTCATCCAATAATTCTGGACAGGACGGTAGCGTTGGTGTCTCCCTTAAAACCTCTGAATCAATAGTGGAATCCAGCTCGTGACGAATCTGAGCGATTTTCTCCCTGAAATGCCTGGCAAAGTCGTCACAGCGGGCCTTTGAGGGTGGAATCAGATCTTCTTTCGGACTTGGACGAACCAGGCCTTGCACCACTTGAAAGAGCTCCGCTGGACGGCATTGTGAGGAGGCAATGGAAACGGAAAAAAATCTCTTTTTCGCTGCCCTCACCGCCACAGCATAGGCCCAATAGTGGGCTCTTAAGTGTGTTCGGTCAGATTCATCCCGTGATTTCCTCCACCTACACTCTAGACATCTCCCAACCTGCTTCATCACCCTCAATTCAGGAGTATACCAAGGGGAAGAGCGGGCACTGCCTGGTGGGGGAGGACGCTTAGGAGCGATCGTGACTACAGCCCTGGTCATCTCCCGATTCCACAGTTCGACCAGAGCCTCTACAGGAGCACCCGTCTTGTCAGCCGGAAACTCCCCCAGGGCCTTCAGGAATCCTTCTGGATCCATCTGGCTCCGGGGGCGGACCCACACAATCGGGTCCACACCCTTACAGAGGGAGAGGTCGCTCTTGAGCACAAACCTCACCAGGAAGTGATCTGACCATGACAGGGGAGTCAAGCATAGATTCCTCACCCTCAGACCACCCTCTTCCTGCCCCGTCGAGAAAACCAGGTCCAGAGTGTGTCCACGTTCATGGGTTGGGCCGATGACATGTTGAGACAGCCCCATGGCCATCATGGAGGCCATGAAGTCCTGAGCTGCCCTGGTCAGACTAGCCTCGGCATGGAGATTGAAGTCCCCCAGGACCAACATCCTGGGGGTCCTCAACACCAGGTCCGAGACAGTCTCCGTCAGCTCAGGCAGGGAGACTGTTGGGCAGAAGGGTGCACGGTACACCAACAGAATCCCCAATCTGTCTCGATCACCCAACCCCGAGTAGAGACACTCCAGCCCTGGTCCCGAAGGGACAGGAAGTCCCATGAGAGAGATGGAGGCTCGGTAAACCAAAGCGACCCCCCCTCCCCTCCCCTCCCCTCCGGCCGTGAACAGTGCTGGACCAGATACCCAGGCGGGCACAATTGGGAGAGGGCAACATCCCCCCCCTCCCACCCAGGTCTCCGTTATGCAAGCCAGGTCGGCCCCCTCATCCACAATCAAGTCATGGATGAGGGCAGATTTGTTATTGACCGACCTGGCATTAAGCAACAGCACCGTCAGGCCCGAGGGGCGACTGACAAGACTCCCTGGCACCCTCTGGCTGGAAGCAAAACCAGAAGTAGGGACAGGTGTCAGCCATCTGTCCCTCCTTCTTCTATGTGGACACGTTAAGCTCCCACCGCTGTTACGTCCATTGCCCATAACCACCCCAATGGTGGCGCCGGCGTGCTCCCCAGGAAACACAAGCGGCAACATGGCCAGAGACGACTCCATAAAACAAGTTAAAAACACTTTAAAATTATAAAAACATTTAAAAATTCACCGCCCAGCAGGAGGGCCTAACACAGTGAAAGTGAAAGCCCCCTGGCCAGCCCAGCCCCCCGCTCGCCCCCCCCAAATGGCGGCAACCGCCCTTTGGCCGACACCCTTTGGCCGCCGGCCCCGGCTGCCGCCGGCGCTTTCAAGCCGCCGGGCTCCCGATGCCCCGCCCCGTCCGGGCATGCCTGCCAGGCATGCAGGGGCATGGTGGAGCAGCCAGGTGGGCGATGGAATGGCAGAGCGGCGCGGAGTGGCGCGGTCTTCGCGGTGTAGGCTGGCGGCGCGCAGTAGTTCCTCTCCGGCGCAGTAGTTCCTCTCCGGCGCAGTAGTTCCTCTCCGGCGCAGTAGTTCCTCTCCGGCGTAGCTGCCGGGGCACAGTTGTTGCTCGGTTATATGAGCAACTTAGATGTTTTCTTTTTTATTTGAATATATAGCTTCCAGTATGTTAAAACAAATAAACATAGATTTCAATTAAAATAAAGTTTAATAGCTAAAGACACAATTGCTAACAATCCTGACTCAAGGCAGTTACATTTGTCTGCTTAGCAGCCCTGCTTAGCTTCCCAAACTGATTTCATAGAAAGGAACAGAAGCCAAGTCTGTTACACAAAGGATTAAAACACACACACACATATATATGAAAAGTCTCTGATGCCACAGCCCCATCTGGAAAGGTGACTTGTAGTACATGTGGAACAACTCATTTTGATTAATCGTAAGATATTTACTAGCTTGAATCTAATCAAAGATCAAGGGATCACAAGCTTAACTGCTATCATACATGGCATAGAAATTTATGTGGCTGGATTAACCCTACTGTAGCCTCGCATGAAATGTTAGAAGAGATACTTTAAATGAAAAAGAAACCTTTTGCTGCTGATTATTACTATTATTAAGTTAGAAACTGTTGGTTTTAACAATCTAAGTGTAGGATGAGATTTTTTTTCAGCTTTCATAAAGCTAAGAATATTGGCCATAAAAAAAATCAGGAATGACTGTCTACCATTAATTAGATGATCCCGTTATAAAATTACAAACCAGAAAAACAATTTTAAAACTGTTTAAACATTGCAGCTCAATTTAACTATATTGTGAACATATATGGACTATTGATGTATATGGAATTAACAGAATTTTCACAAGGAAACATCTCTGCCCACAAGGAGAGTACAATTTCATTTCTGAAAGTAGGAAAGATGGGAATGCTTAGGCAAGGGTAACAGAGAAAAATGATGGGAACAAGGGAAACAT